GGCTCCACAGAAATAATGGAAAGGTGATCATAATTTTCCTTGGGACAACCGCATGTTTTCCTGCCCTTTGTCTGTTGCAAATGCAAAACAGGAAGAAACATTTCAGTGGCTTTCTGGGGAGTGGATCAGAATGGTAATATTGATGTCTGCACTGGTAAGACTGGAAAGCAAGCTGGGATCAGTGAACTGGAAAGAAGGAAGAAGTTGGGGGATGCTTCTAAATATACATCAGAAGAAAGGGCCACAGAAAATGCAGTTATGTCAGTTTATATTAGCTGAGGATCCAACTCCGTATAAGAGAGGCAATACAGTGACTCTCAGAATTCAAACTATAAACAGGAGAAAAAGAAAAGCTTTTCTTCTATTTTAGTTCTGATGCCTCATCTAAATTCAGGCATCAGAAAAGTGCTACATGTGCCCCATTTCTTATTATCTTTGCTGCAAGGCAAAATGAGAGACCATCATCAGAGTCATGAACATGCAGAGCCTGCTCCAGCACACCTCAGACCCCCTGAACTCCCACAGAGCCATTGCCCAGTGGGTAACAAGAATGGGGTGTGTATCAGGTTCAGGTAGCCTCCCCCACCATAGGTTGCTTAATTGGCTAAGAGAAGATGCAAGGACTAGATGGGAAATAGCAGTCTGTCAGCAAAGACACCTTGATGTGTTATTGTGACTATAAAACATCCTAGGGCAAATGCCTAGCAGAGGGATGTAGCATGGAGGAAGCCTCCTGGGTACCTGGTATCTGCAGCCATCACAGGCATCACTTCACATCATTCCTTTCACAAACTGATCACGCTCCATTTAAAGATGAGTTCAATTTTTGTCCCCGACTCTTCTGCTTTGGAGGCTGCTACAGCATTTCAGCTTAGTTGTGACCAGTCTTCACCCATTTGTTGTGATAACCCTGTTGTAGCCTAAACAGCTTCTCCTCCCCCTCCTTCTTCCCCCTTTGCTTGGTGTTTAGCTCCCAGTGCATATAAGAGAGATCAGCGTGTCTCTTCTCAGCCTTCATTTTGCTGGACTAAAGAAACTTGTTCTCTCTCTCTCTCCTGATGGGGTAGGCTCTACATTTTAATGCTCCCCTGAATAACTCTTCTCCGCGTATCTGTTCATTTTAATGGCACTTAGAAGGTGTGAAAGGGAACATGCCCTAGAATAATGAAAAGCAGCCTCAGTGTATTATTTTAAACAATGTAAGCAGATACAAGACCAAGATGAATCAGGTAACCCGGACACTACATGAAATTAATTTTTTTTTCAAGTTTTATACTGTGTGTGGCTATAAGGTCCGTGCATTTTTACTGTGCCTCCCCCTTCATCTTATGACATCAAGTCTGTTGTACAAATGCAAGTCAAGTTAGAATACCATGTAACTGAAGAACATCCCATTCCTGAATGCATCCTAAGTAGGCAAAATATTGTTAATGGCCCCCTTTTAAACAATAGGTAATTATTATTGAGTAATTATTATCATAGCCTTTAAATGTGAAGACATCTTGCTTCACATTTAAAGGCTACGATAAAGTTATGCATATCGAAACACACTAATACCCATCCTTATCCTTGCTGCCTTCCTGCAACTCTCAAAAAGTAGTTCCAGATATTAAATATGCTGTCAAGAATTAATTAGGAAGGTTCCAGTTTACAATGTAATGTATTAGGGCTGACTGTGACGCACCTCTCCAATTCCCACATTTATTATTTGCTCGTTTGCTCATAGTATTTGCTCATTGAAATGCATTTTTGTTAAACAGTTTTTCAGTAAAGGTATTTGAACAAATCCATTGTATTATGTGCTTAACTATCCAAATTTTTATTTATACACACGCTTGACTGAGATCTGCCCCCTCTGCAGTAGAGATGAGGCCCTCAGTCTCTTCATAGCGTGCACCCCGCACCCCCAAACATGGTCTGCAAATTACAACCAAGGAAACCACCAAGTAATAAAACCATTGATCCCCTTTCTCCCCCTACGATGAACAGGGTGTGCTGCTTCCTTACCGGGGAAGAGTTCCACGCTAGCCCCCGGAGTGGTCTTTGCTGTTGTGGCTCCTTCTGGTCACTGTCTGCTTGACTTTTAAAGATGAAGTTAATCTGTCTCCCTGTTCAGCTTCAGTGAAGACCAAAGGTCATGATGGTAGGCAAGGTTCAGACCCTCTGGTGCCTCCACAAACTGCAACCAAAACAACCATCAAATGGCAGGCGTGCAGATTCACTGACCCTTGACTAACAAGAACTTCTCTTTCTTCACCATCAGGGACAAGTGCCACACAAACTTCCATTTGCTGCCCTCCGTTCAGTGGCTTCAGCAGTTGCTGGTTGCCCTCTCCTCTCTGTTAACACCTCTGCGTTAGATTATTAGACAAGAGCTCCTACTCTTTTCCCTCCCCCCCCCTTTCCTGTAAAAATTAATTTCCTCTCCAAGTTTTGCTTCTCTTGGCTCCTTTCTTCCTCACCCAGCATGACTGAATTCACCCAGACCAGATCCCTTGGAATCAGCCTGTCAGCCTCATGTCAATCTTTTAGGCTGAAATTCACCCCTTTTCTAGACGCTATACTACACTTAAGTCTCATGCAAACCCTACTTAGATGGCTTATTAGGAAGGAAGAGGGACAGAAGCCTGGTGTTGGGTCTCTGCACAGGATGGAAATTCTCCCTTCAATGAAGGTTAGAGCAATACAAAGAGACGATGGAAATGTTTTATTCCTATGAGTGGGTTGAGTTGGACTCATGGAAGAGCAGTCAGCTAACCCAACACTGCATATAGCTGAACTTTAATAGGAATGATTGCATAGTACTTGTATGATAAACCCCCATTTGGGAGATTTGAGACATTCCCCAGTCATACTGATGATCCAGAACACAGCTGCAGGGGGTGGAGGCCCAAGAAACAGAACTGAGGGTAAAATAGGCTGATATAAGTTCATGGTCCAAGCTAAGCACAGTGAAACTGTCCTCAGTGCAACTATTGCATCTGAGTTGGACACATGAGAAATTAAAAGCCTTATCTTGACTTAACTCTAATCCATCAGAGCTCCAGAAAGATAGATTGGTAAAGGTATTTAGCCACCTAGCTCCAAGTGAGAGGTAAGCAACTAAATACTATATGCATCTGAATGTATGTCTCAGCAGCAGCAAAAACTCTACCTACATAATTGCTTTCCACTATTTGTCTTCCAGAGTTTAATAGTCTTTTTTAGAAGGGACCAGACTATCACAAAGGAAATGTAAAAGGGCTTCAAGTAGCTTAAGCCAAAATTTGACCTATTTTAAGAGCATAAATATTCTGGCAATGAGTGATTTCTATAGCGTTCCAAAATACATGAACATAATTTCTCTCTCTGGAGATTAAAGCCATTAAGCACCTTCTAATTTAGCTCCCACTTTTAATAAATTACTCTTGTTCTCTTCCCCCAACTGTTAGTGAAGGGGCTAAGTGCCAACTAATATTATTCCTATTATCATGGAAACAAACCTTGGGGTGATTTGAAGTAATTTTTTTTTATAGATATAAGAATGGCTTAACACAGGTAACAGCAGATGTAGATTGCCTGAATCCCAGCCCTGTGCCCTCCCCAACCAGCATTCAGGCAATAGCAACTTTCCTGGTAGGTCATAAAGCATAAAACTACCTGCTACTTCTCCTTGTCAGCTGCATGCGAGTAGGACTGGATGCCCAGTCCTCCTTAAAAATTGGCATTTGGCATAGAACATCTATACATTTTCGCTTCATATTAGACCAAAGTTGTAAACTCTCAAATGTCATCTATTTAAATAAAATTCCAACCACCCATTAAATAGTTTCTCCAGTAGCAGGTCTTCCTGCCTCACAATTTCATGGCTCTTAGCAGTTGCATGGGATTTTGTTTTATCATCTCAAAGTTGGATTTACAAGCCCTTTTGGACTGACAACCAATTAAAAGGGCCAGGGGGCCAAGATCTCAAAACCTGTCAGCATTTTATATGGGATCAATCCCTAGAACATCATAGACTAGTCCCCAAAACATCACTTGATCAGCGCAGAGAATCTCAAATAAAAACATTTTGTCCTGGGCACCCTTTACTATAGTTGGTTATTGAAGGCTGCTGGTTGAAGAGATTGTGGTCACACTAGAACAAGGGTTCATAGGAGTCACTTCTCCTGAGGTTAAATCCTTTGAAAAATGTTTTTGTCTAAACAGTGACATTGTGAAAGGTGAAATTCCTTCAGACGTTTAGAATTAAGCAGCTTCTGTGCTGTTAGTCTTTGGCTGCCAAAAAGGTTGTTTCTTTTCTGCATGTATTCCCTAGGTTTAGAGCACCTTTGGCGCTGTGCTGTTCCAGGCTGGAGCCTTATAGTTTGAGCTAACTATGAAATCACATTTATTTTCATATAAATATTTGTACTATTATTCTAATAGGCATAGAGAGCACACTAAAAAAAAGGGTGTGTCTTCTAGTGGCTGACCTATTACAGCCTCTTCTAGTGGCTCATCCATTCCCAACAGCCTTTTATCATCACTACATATACAGCTGCTTCTTGAGCTCAGTTGTTATCAAGGACATTATTCTTCTGCATCCAGAGGTCCCAAGTTCAAAATTGGCTGACCATGCACGAAGAAAGTTATTAGATATATAGAATGTACACATGTACATGCATAAACTTGGTATGTGGATTGTTTGCACAAAGTTCATTAGAAGTAGAGTGGCTTAAAACTATAAAAAGGGAGAAAATAATTTTGAAAAAGTAATTATTTCCTTTTTTGGAAATTCACCATTTCAAAAAGGCTGATCAGTTCTATAAGTAATTGGAAAGAAAAAAAGGAGGGCAAAATGTATATGCTTCAAATTTCAATGAAGAGTTCAAATTTGAAACAAACACCGGAAATAATTCAACTGGTTCCAAATGTGAGTATTTCAAATGAGCTGTATTCATTAGTGTTGATGTGACATGTGGTGTGTTTTCCTCTTCTCTATTTATGGAAGACAACCTGAAAAGTCAGGGTTTTGCAGTAGTTATTTAATATTATTTATAAATAAAGTGCATTTTTCTTGTGAGGTTACTACACAATTAGCTCTTCACAGAAGCATTGCTGCCATGACCAGGATACAAATGAAATCAAATTAGGATAAAAAAATTAAGAGGACATTTATTAAAAGCTTTTTACAGCAGTCATTCAGTTTTTATCCAATGTAACGCTACCTTGGGTGGTCCTCATTAATATTTATGGCACCACACAAGAACATTTTGTCTTTTAGCAGCTTACATTTCATGCATCTAACATGACAGTATAGAAACCATTCTTAGTTATGAGTGACCAGAATCAGATTTTGTCCCCTTTGTTTGATGGTAGGAAGGATAAAAGTGAGAGTTTGGGTCATCCAGATACTTCACGAACTCTTGAAAGATGGACATCAGCTATTTGCAGCCAACTATGTGCACTGTTAGTTGTTGGCTGGAGTGGTTGGTGCTTACCAGGAAACTGAAGGTGGCTTGAAAAGCTTGGGGCTGGTTCTACTTGGGCCTGCCTGCCTAATTCAGGTGGTCACAATGTCCTGGCCTCAGGTGGGTCACTGGAAGTGAAGGCAAGCATTAAGAAAGAGGGCAATTTAAGTTCCATCACTGATCTATTCAGTTCTCTGCAAGACAAATGCAGATGGGGCCTGCCACTTCACTTACCTCCTCAATGCTGCTTCAGTCATCTTTCAGCTTAGACATGAAAGAGAAGCATTCCTGGTTTTGGCAGAAAAATTCCTGCAGTAAATGCTACACTGCAGAGGGCAGAAGATAGTTTGCTTCTCCTCTCAAGACTGAGTCTTTTATTGCTGTTGGTAAGTCTGTGAATGGAAAAAAAAACATTAACACTGCTCAGCATGTGCTATCAGGGGGCTGCAAGGATGAAGAGGAAGGACACCGCAGACAGAGGGGGCAAAAAGAATAAATGATGCCAAGTGACCAAAACCCTCCGGAAGTCATGTAATGCTTAGGGACTTGGAACATATTGGATGGGTATCATACCTAGAAATGGTTTCATACAGCAGCTGCTGACGGCTATTCAGTCTTGATAGAGGGGGTTTAACACGCTGAACTGTAGATCAGAGCATAGGCCTGACAGCACAAGGTCATCCAAAATTGACCTCTTCGCGCTGCCTGCCTAGGCAGTGAAAGACCCAGCCCATTAATGCTGAGTCAGAAGACATTCATTGACAGAGAAAATTGGGTTTGCAAGCATGGGAAGTGTGAAAATATTTTAAAAAGTCAGAAAACCTGGAGAACATACTCTATAAGCAGTTAGTGAGAAATGTTTAACCAAAAGTTGCTGGCTGTGTGGCAAGAGGCTGTAATTATATTCAAAGATCCTGACAAGCCTTGAGTGGATGACTTTACCTCTCTTTGCCCCCCTTTCACCACTACTTCCCTAATTCATAGGGATGGTTACAGGTTCAATAAAAAGCGGCACTTTTGTGTGATCCTTAATAGGAACTGCTGTCCGGAGTCTAAAGCATTATTTGACATGATATGAAGCAGTCCTGAAAAAGTGCTGGGACCTTTCAACCCTGAAAAAAATATTAAAGCCAGCTCTGTTTGTGCGAGTTAATGGGTGATCGGCTTGCGGGCTCTGTGTTTGGAGTAGGCATGAATGCAACAATGAAAGGAAGTCCCAGTGCTTTCCATCACAGTGGAATGTGAGACTTCCCCACAGTGCAGTAGGCATTTGGGTTGTAGAGCAAAAGAGTTACTTGTCCCAAACAAACCAGAGTTGCTGGGTGAATTTCCACTTATAGCTCTACCCAATTCAGAAAAGACAGTATTAAAAATGGCTGGAGTCATTATACTTCAACAATAGGTTTATTTTAAGAAACGTAACATGACATTAAGTAAAAATGCAAAATTGTGCAATTATGGCAAAATGTTTAAAAATCCACACATTTGCCGTCATAGGACTACAGTACTTCTTACTAACATACCTGAGCACTGAATGTTGGATGCCATTTCTAAACAGCCTTAAGAAACAGGGAGCTCTTACATTTCTTGCAGAACACACGCACACTACGTCTGATGCACCAGGATCACTTTTAGCTATTAAATCAGCAATAACATTTAGAATAAAACGGGGGTTAACAATTAAGTTTCTTCCAAAATAATTCTGATGAGATTTTTTGGGAGGAAGATTTCCACTTACTTGGTCCTTTATATTTTGTCAATTTAATAAAGGCAGAGCCTAACCCAGAGCAGAGGGATCACACAGGCAGAGAAAACGTACAGAGCTCTGTGTAATTACTAATACCCTTGGTGCAGTGTTAATTAATTGTTCTCACATTGTGCAAACTGACTCTTAAAAGTCTGATTTTAAAGCACAGCTGACGAGGAATCTGACTTTCCAAAATTTTTAAAGCATTTAAGAAGTGGCAAAATATCACAGCTATGTTAGTTTCAACAAATTATTCATGCAAAAGATTCAACATAGTCTACTCCCTTGACAAGTTCCAGGTTTTAGCTTTTAAACACATTACTGTCTTAGACCACACCCTTAGTTTGAATGGTTAAACACAATGGAGATCCTCATATTTTAGTGCAGATAAACAAAATTAACAAACCTACTGCAGAATTAACCACAGCATATTGTACTTCTAGACATCACATGACCAGTCAATTGCTAACTCAGTTCTATTTCATATTTTCAAGTAATATATTGAAATTTGTTCTACTAAATAAATATAGAAGATTGTCAAAAAGCAGCAAGAAATCTTGTAAATATTCAACCAAGCTTTAAAAACAAGAAAATTTTACATAACACTTCGCAAAAAAGTTGGTTTTACACACTAATGCAACACTGTGAGGGAGGGTGCTTCAGAAAGCTTGCAGCTAGAGGTGTACAACAGCTCAAATAGAGCTAGCTACTCTAAAGAGAAGATTTAGAAAATAAAGTAGTTGTACCAAAAAAAAATGCTTATTGTTGGCTGTGGATAAAGTACTATCCTGAAAAATACTAAACATAACAAGAAACCACACACCTCAAGATTATTTAAAAATGCAATCTTAGCAAATGCTGTCAAACAAACTTCGTTTCAGGGAAATTCCAGCACCCACACCTAAAAAAAAGTTTGGTGTATCTCTGGAAGATGAGGTATGTAATGCAGAGAGGCATTTTTTTTTTCTTTTAGTTTCACAGTTTCTTTAAATTTTTTTATTGTTAAATATTTTTGTGCAAGATTTAAGATTCAAAACCAGATGAATGTTTCCTTAAGTAAGGAAAACCCTATTGGGGGATAACTAGACCACACACTGAATCAATGTTCTCTTAGGCATGCCAGGGGATAAACTACTACTGAGCTACATATTTGGCTTATTGAAATATCAGCTCTTAAGCCAGATAATGGTAAGCATTTATAGCAAGGGCTGACCATTATTTTAATCTGAGAAATTAAATTTAGTTAAATATCTATCTAAGACGACAAACCACATGTAGTTGTGGAGAGAATAAGCTCTGTAACAAATTAAACCTGAAATATATAGTGATATGAGCTCTAGGATTAACCTTTTCCCTTTTATATCCAGTTTTCACTACTGACATAGAGGCTAAACTTTAAACCTAGTTACCCATTAAAAAAATAAGTTAGATGTTCCATACATAGAACAAATGTGATAATATTCTATACCTGCATCTAAGATTCCTTTAAACTATGGATATCTACTGTCAATTTTGTTTTAATAAACTGAATCACAAAGACAGCTCAGTAGTGCAAATTTTCACATTACAGGTCATAACAGAACAGTAAAAAGTGACTGGGAAGATTGGGCAGGGAGAAAAGAATGATAAAATTAACTCAGACTTCTCAGCATTATCAGAGCATGTGCAAACACTGCACATAGCTCTATACTTTACAAGAGGCAGAATGAGCTCTCCAAAAAGCCAAAAAGGTCATATCCTGTCATCACACTGCAAGACCTTCCACTGCAGTGAAAATGTAAGTAAAAAGAGGACACACGTTTGCAGGACAGGACTCCAAGAAGACTGTTTCCATTAACAGCAGGTTGTCTTAAAGAGCAGTGGAGAGTTAGCCCATTTCAGACATACAAGTATTAAAAATATACTAGCACCATCAACTTTGGGGTTAAAGCCCTTAAAGGGATGAACAATGCTTAAGCAATGTAAAAACCCTTTTCAAGCACTACATTTAATTGGCAGAAGATAGCTATTTTTATACCATTAGCTTGATTTTAACAAAAACCCACAGTTAGGAAAATGGTACAGTAATCCAAAACAGGTCTTCTGTTTTTTGGGCAGATACTTTATGTTCTGCTTCAGACTTCAATATTTCTCTCAAACTATTGTAGTGCACAGACAACATTATGAACATTTTAATAGACTTCAAAGCAGTACAAAAAAAAAGATAATTATGAATCAGGATCTGGTATTCTTCTCTCTCTCTTTTCTGTCAATCTAAAATAAAGACTTAGTGATATTGCCTCAGATTTTACCCGTATTGAAAAAAAAAAAAAAAGTCACTTCAAAATAGCTTGGACATCCTTAGCTATTAATGCTAGATTTTCTTTCACTGTAGTGCATAGTTATCCTGGCTCTTCTATTTTTAGTTTGCCTTTATTACTATAACACCCCTCTAGAATGACATGATTAAGTGTTTACCAGAAAAAATGCTGATAATTGCACTTTGTAACCTCCTTTTCATTTCCCAGGAAAATATCAGCAAGTATGACACTTGAATGAATTCCCTCCCCAGACTGCAACCTTTAAAGAGCACCCATCCCCATATACAAAAAAACTGTCTGTTTCAGCTCACATGAAATACTGACAGAACGTCTTTGTTTTCTTTTAAGACATGTTTTCTCTAGCATCAGATACCACTGAAATCACTAAGGCCTGTTACCAAATAAAATTAAAGAACTTTCTGAAGACACTGTGGATACAATTTAGCAACAACACATTCAAAATGCCGGCCTAAATCCCAGAGCCTATCTGGAGTCTCGTACACCTTCTGCCACTGGTCAGTAACCTCATCGTATTGATATAGTGAATTCTTCCTGCTGGTTCTGAAAACGTGTTCTTCAACAGTGACTTGAGTAGCTCTGACAAACAAATGGAGTTTATTTTTGAGAAGCACAAGTTTAATGTATGGATTAATAGACTGATCACATGGGAAGTCTTTTTTTCGAGTCCACTTATTTTGTTCAATATCATAGGCCTCTACGGTAAACATACGCTGATGATTTCCACAGGTTCCAGCTATGTAGTAGATGGAGTCATGGTATACAGCTGCCAAGCCTTGGATTCTAGGCACAGTCATTGGGGTTAAAAAGCCCCAATAATCTTTCTGAGGATCATAGCAGAGGAAAAATTCTCCTAAAAAGGAAAGAACCCAAAAAGTATAAGAATATTAAAGTTATAATTTTTTTAGACACTGAACACAAATCCAAGTGGCTCCCAGACTAAAATCAGAACTTTTTTTCTGTTCTCTCCCTCTAGACATTTACATACATTGATCCCAAAACAGCAAACTTTATACCCAGTTTCTTAAGAATGTTAACAGCCTATAGAGCATAAATCCCTAAAGAGTTTCTCTCGAGGCTGAAATGGAGTGTTTGAAGGCTGCCAACACTGAAAGGCTTTATGTGCATCCCACCACTTTTAACCAATGCTTGAGAATCTGGGGGTCAAAACCTTTCAAGACTTTAAAGTGCTTGAAGCATTAATCTGGTTCCTTGATCTCTTGGTAAAATTAATACTAATGATCTACAGTTCTTAAATTGCTTGAAACCTGAGCAAGTAATTGTGTGAATTACACTACATACAGATTTGGAAACGGTATGTGGAGAGTGCTAGCAAAGAAACAGCTTCACAAATCACATGTTGATCCATTTAAAGACATTCCAAATGGATCCTTGTGTGAACCTGCTAATTCACTATTTTTATGGCTAAATAGTATGAAACTTTATATACTGACTACAGAGATTAGAATCTACAGAATAATGATGGCAGAAGTTCAGATGCATGGAAATAAGATGATGCTATTCTAAATAGGTAAGTATAACGTAGATTAAAAACAACCCGCCATCCCAACACTCCCACATATTTGGAAAGGCTACTTTTTCCCATGCACAAGAAGCTACTTCAAATTATACCTTTCATATATGTTTTAAGTACACTTGCCAAACCACATTACAGATAAGTACTCTTCTAGCCCAATTAAAACAAGGAATGAGGAAAGAAAGAAAGAATGGTAGGAGAGATCAAGAGGGGTGGAGTTTAGTTTAAAAGACGAGCAACATGAGTAATTATTGCTTTCTCCACTATTAAATTTTGCTTCCATTTAACATCTCTTGATTAACATTTGTATGTCAGCTGGTGTTAAGAATAACATCAGGCCTCACACATGCTTCAGTTCTAAGGGGTCTTTTGTACTTGAGTGGGACAACTGTACATTTTTGACTAGCACACAGAACTACGTTGAAGAATCAGAGATGTGGGATCGAAAATTTTCCGTAAAGTTTTCCAGTGCTTTATTTTTCCGTGGGAAATTTTCCATTTCTAAAAATTCATTGTTTCATAAAATTCATTAGTAACAACGAATAGATGTCAATACAATATTAGGTAAGCTTGACAGTTTCAAAGTTGTAATTAATGTTTTTCGGGTGATTAGCCCTAGGAAGTGAGAGAGAGAGTACATATATGTTTTACCGATTTGTAAAAAGGACGGTAAATATACTCACATAATAATCCAATCCAAAAATCAAGTTATGAATTCACCTAATTGGCTGTGCAGGTCAAATCAAAATCAAAGCACAGCATATCATGCACAGTTCTTTGGGTGTGCTAAAATTAGTGTCTCAACAGTTTTCAGTGCCTTCACTTTTTTTCTTAAATTTAAAAAAAAGTGTAAGGGAAGTACATGCTATCGTGCATTGTCTTTACATTTTTACAAGTATTCCAATAAAAATTATTTCTTTCTACATAAGGCTTTGAATTTGTTTAAATATAACATTTAAACCATATTAAGTGTGCTGTATTTAATTTCTTCCCTAATCAAATATTTCAGTTCAAATACTTGCGGCTATCAGGACATAAAATTTACATGGCGGTACTTTTTTAGTTTTGTTTACTAAATATAAGTCAAATAAACACGCTAAATCAGATCACGTTGTATTTAGGGCACTGGAAAATTTTCCAATTCAAACTTTTCCAGAAAACCCACATCTCTGGAAAGAATTACAGCAAATACTGCGGTGCTTCTTTCCATCTAATAAAAATTGAAGACTAAAATTCTTTACATTAATATTTCAATGAAACGCAAGCATATTCCTCTACTCATGAGATTCTGCAGAGAAAACAATATTTTCATAATGCAAAGCACTGGGGGCTAGATACATTTCCTTATTTGTGCAATTACTAAGTTCATCCATAAAACAAACTAAAACCTCAACTGTTACAGGTGCATTTATGCCTCCTGTAAACTAAAAAAGCAACATTCTGATCATGAAGTTTATAGACATGTGGTCCATTTGACCATAAAACTTCTATAGTGAATTTTCTCAATGGATTATTTTCAGGTAGAGTTAAGTATGGCAGACTGCATTACAAGCTTTTAACAAGATGCTTGCAATTTTTAAGTAGCTTAATGAAACAAAATATAATGGGATGAATGTTTTAACTACATCGAATCTACTACTGACGCTTCATTCAATATGACACTGTGAAATAGTCATTTAACTTAAACCAAGTAAAAAGCAGACATATTTAGAGATTCTGCTGATAGTCGAGAACCACTTCAAACTACACGTATTTCTCTATAAAGTGAGTAAGGAACACCAAAACTAGCAAAGGAAATACAAGAGGGGAAAGCAGATCTCACAGGAGTCTAACACTTCCATTGTGGGGTGTAAGTGCATAGTGAGAGGGGGAGCATCGCACTGTTTCCTTGCATGCCTACCATGGTTTCCTCCAAGTTCTTCCATGTGCCTGTCCCCTACAAGTTAGAAACAACCGCCAGCAGAGGGCCCATTGATAACCGGGCCTTTACAGGTGCTTCTAGATCTGTCAAATTTCTCTACCTATGCTGAGCCATTTCAAGGCCCACCCGTTGTTTTCCTAAAAAAAGGAATGATTTGTCCTTTAACCCTTTACCCACTAGCATATAATTTGTAGACTAGTTGAGTAACTTTTATTTGGCTATCCCCATAATACACAATATCCAGACTAAGATACCAGAAGGGAAAATACAGCAGATTTTTGCTTACCTAAATCCTGCTTATATAAACACTCAGATTAAATGAACTCCCAGCTTGGTCACTAGAATTACACAAAAAGCAAATACTTGTGCTTCTTATACTAGATTCTGTCATTACATTGCAATTTGTTTTCTGGACTGCCATGCATGCTTCTTTTTTTACATTCCACTTCCTTTTTTTAGTGCTATTGTATATTATAGATGTCTTATATATCTGGACATATCACTTACATAAACAGGGGATGGTCCCACTAGGTTCTAATAAGGAGGATCTACTATGTACTTTTCCTCCATGGAAATGTAGAGCTATACACTATATCTTTCTTAAGATATCTACATGCTTATTCCAGTCATCATCATCTATTCTGGTGCAATGGTCTCTCTGGTAGAGATATCAATATTAATCCCAAATCTCTGTTTGAGCTAGATCGCATGGGAATTGAGATGCAGGACATGGATATATTCATAGTGGAAACCGAGCATTCATTTTATGTGAAAAGGAAGTAAAAGAAAGAAAAATGAACAGTGCAGGAAAATCTTTAGTCTAACTTGCTGACTCAAAGGAACAGAAATAGCCAGTTTTGGAAGGAGTCATTATCCACCACTTAATTTTCCATTTACTTAATTTTACCAGTTAGCAAGCTGGGGGAAAAGAATGATTTAAAAAAGAAGACTGTTTTGCAAACAAGCCCTTGTTCAACAGACAAAATTTAGCTTAATTAAAATTTGTAACAGTTAAAACGTTTGGGTAAGATGATGACATTTTAGCAAACAGACTTTACATCAATATTCTACTATTTTTTTTCTCTGAGGAAGTGAAGCAAGACTGATTTTTGTGTGAATCTGCAAAGTAGAAATTAGTGACAAGGTCTCATAGTATTAAGCCTGAAAAAAATGTTTGCATATAAGCCAAGGGAAAATGTATGCTTATCTTTAAGTTCTAGAAGGATTTAGTTCATACACATGACCTGCTTTTCAAAATGGATTCATGTTGTGGCACATAAAAACACATTTGCCTAGAGATACATTTTAAAATAACACTATATATACATTTTATGTGGTTTCTTCTCCATTGCCCCCACTAGGTTTCTCTTTTTCAATCCCTAAATAAAGAAATGAGAACTTTCTATGGTGTTCAAGGGAATGGAGATACTGGGACTGGAAACCTCCCTTTCCTATTGAAAACACGGTATCACTTACACTGCTAAGGCACCTTACCCTGTAAAACATAGATGTTATCTTTATACTCCACAGCGCTATGAAACTCCATTGCTACAGGCATTGGACAGACAGCTGTCCAACAGTTCTCTCTGCTGTCATAACATTCCACAGACTTTAGTGAGTTTCGCCCATCTCCTTCATAAACACAACCACCTATTGCATACAGTTTACCACAGCAATGAACCAACTTGCAGCCTATTCTGGCTCGCAACAAAGGAGGTTTAGGTATCCATCTATTGCCAGAGTGATCATACATCCAAAAGTCACTCTCTGCTCTGTGGTCTATGGAGATCTCACTGCTGCTTGGCCTGTAACCCCCTGCAATGTAAATATCATTATCAGGTGATACAAGAATTCCAACCTCCCTCAGGTCATTTGGTGGTTTGCATAGTTTAAACACTCTCCCTGTGACCGAATCTAAACAAGGCACTGTTTGCTTCTTTCCTGAGTGTTTGTGGGCAGCATCAAAGCATATGATCATTTCAGATGCAGTCATTCCAAGCCGTTGCGTGTAGCCATTGGCACTAGGTTGTCCCTTTTGTACACAGCTTTTGGCTATAGCCTGTGCAAACATGGGAGGGATTTTCTCTAAAAATGTCTCGTCCAACAGAGGCATACGGATGCATTTGGCAAATATTTCTGGAAGGTGCACTTCTCTTTTATTTCGCTCATGTTCAAACCACCTTATAATGCTGTCATAAACATGCTCTTCTTTGTCTACATTTAAGTCATCACTGTCCAGTATACTTATCAGTTGGTCTTTTCTCAGCTGGAGAAACTCTTGCTCTTTGGTGACACTCAGAAACTTTTTACGAATGTAGTCTTGTGATCTGTGTTTGAGTTCTTGATGACCATAATGATCAGCAAAGATAAACACTCCAATAGAGTTTTGTGGGTCCAAATGACTTATCATATATTTAGCACACTGATCTTGTATGGAAGGGATCTGGAAGATACTAGCTGCAGTGAACAAAGCTTGAACATTGGCCTCTGTCAGCATTACTCTCGAGGTATATGCATAGTTCAGTACTAAATGCATCGACTCTGCTTCAACGCCGACTATACGAACTTCTTTCTGTGTACTCTCTGTAAGGCCACTAGTGAACATAGATCTGCAAAAGAAAGATTTGGCAGTTTATTTTCAAATCCCTTTCAGCTACAGGTCTAAAAAATGTCAGACAATATTATACTTAATCATGACATGCATGTCATACTAACAGGGCACTTATAATCTTCGCTGATACTGTAATAGAGACACAAGAATTTCTTAGGGTGATCTCTTTTATTAAACCAGCTATGTAGTTGGGATAAAGTTAGACAAGCTTTCAAATGCAGGACAGTTTTCATCTGGATTCCTGTGATCAGAGACATGATGAAGACTGTCTTGCATATGAAAGCTTGTCTAACTGTCTAAGCAATTTTTGCCTTTAGCATAATTTCCAGACCATCGTTGCTACAATATCACTCGTATACTACTGGACATTAGAATGTCATGGTCAGCTACCTACAGTACAGTTGTACTCTTAATAACTCAAAAATAGTAGACTGGCATTCCATATTTAACGCTCACTAATGAACCTATATCAAGCCTGCTCAAATTTCATATAGGTAGACTCTCTCCCCCACCCCTGAAATTGCCAATATGCATGCTCAACATGGAATCTCAATATAAGATGTACTGCAAGGTACTATGCTAAAATGTGCAATCTAAAAAGGAAATCAGTTTTGAATTATGATAGTTAAAGATATGCCTGATGTCGGGGGTTCTCAGTATAGCTTTTTTAACTACGTGAAAGTGAAATCATACTCAAGGCAAATTTGATTAAATAAGCAGATGCTGCTAATTCTGCTGCTTACTAAATCTGTAATGTCATCATCATCAGTTACAGGAAATAAAACTGCAGATGGATATAAGAAGTTTTAATTACTCATAATTAAAGTATTAAGCAATAGAAGTAATTTGCTGTCATTTTTCATTCAATAACTACTAGCACAGGGAACTCCATATTTGTACCTGAAATAAGGACTGATTGCAGCAAGAACATTCCTATGACAGGAGAATGTTTTCCCATGATCCACCTCCACTACAATATCTGTCAACTGTCCTTCATCATACATTGTTTTAAGTTGCTGAAGAATACTGCAAGCGTGGAAGGGGTCCATTCCACTGCTGACTGTGTTTGAAGAAGGAATTCCATTCAGGGTTTGTGAAAATTTACTTGGTTCTATAAACAGAAAACCAAAACAAACTTATTATATTGAAAAAAGCAAATACAACAGACCACACAATCAAGACTATATGCATATTTATGTACCTCCTCCCATTTTCAAAAGTGATTAATGATGATTAAACACCATTTTTTTTAGTTTCACAATCTACTATGACAATATAGAAAAACTACAAATTGGTTTTAAAAGGAAACAACTATGCAATAAGTGTTGCGCTTGTTTATATATAACCTGTCACTCAGGTGTCCTGATCCGTATGGACTCGTATGAAAGTATTACTAACCCATTTCCAGAAAAGCAACACAAGACGGGTCTTAGGCCTAAGTTCTGCACACTTTTATGAATGAGCTTAACTTTGCAGTCAGCTGGCTAAAAAAGAATTGCTGGCTACACATTTTCACAAATGAATACAAAAATTGCATATTGCTAAAATACAGCTCATAATGTCAATAACAATCATACAAGTAATAGCATACAAATAGGTTCACACAGAATATATAATTACTTTATAATTGTATTTACATTAGAAACCAAACTCTGTTTACCACTTAAATCATTATTCCAGTGTGAAAGGACACTACTTCTATTGTGAAAGAAAATGAGGAAAAGCTGTATACATTGAAACAACATGCGACAAGTGCTTAATCAACTAAGCCCACAGTGAAAATTGAGCAATGTTTCAAGTGCAAAAACCTGTTTCATTAGGAAACAAGTTTTCTACTCCACAACAAAAGAAACTCAACAGGAAAAATGAAGTGTTAAAAGCTGCAAGTCAGGTATTGCTGCTGACAGCACAGAAAATGTCCATAATGTATGCAGGGCTAAACAAAAAAGGGATGTGATGAATGGGGAGATTTAAATCCTGTCTCATGGCTCTGTGCAGCAGCGACAATTTCCCTTATTCGCAATTCAGGCCTTGCGCCCACCCAGAGCCCCAAGGAAATCAATAGGACTCTCCTGTGCCCATGATTGTTAGGCACGGGGCCTAACAGTTTCAATATCTCACTGAACCACGCCTAGGAAAATCTTACAGAATCCAGGTCCCTTTTCAAAACAGGAACATTGTAAGTGTTGCCCTTAAAACTGACTTCCCACAACAAATACACCAGACGTGACGACTCCCATATCCTGAACTGGAGTACGCAGCCCTCAATACAGCAGGCCACCTGGGCTTGAAGGCTGTCAAGAACAACACTGACATGTTCTACTTGGAAGCTCTGCTTCCTGAAGCCCCTTCATAGCATCAGGTAAAGCTGCTGCTTACGAAAGCTTATGCATCTATGATTGGATTAGTCTTTTTTGGGGAAAGCCTTCCCTGCCTTGTACACAACCATTAAACAGCAAGTTCCAACTCCTTAACTTCAACTCTCACCCCTTCCCTGTACCTCTGGCAGGGCCTGCAGACCCAATTCAAACTCTGGGGGATGCAAGACAAATGCACTTCCTCCCTGCATGGCTCAGAAGAGGCTATATCTCTATGTTTCCATTCCTAGACACTCGGCACTGCCTATGTCAGTGGTTTTCAACCTTGTTAGATTTGAGACACAAAATGCCAAGTCTAGTTTTCACTCGTCTTTTTTTTTTAAACTAGAGAACAGTAATGGAGCAATCCTTCCATTGCACAGATCTCAGAAAGGCCACAACGGGGCAAAATGTTTTGAACACTATGGCTTCCTCTTTGAAATCTCTGGGTTTATGCTGCGAATCATGTTTGTGCACCCAACAGTGCTAAAATTGCCCGGCACCCGTGAGAGGGTCTCAAGGCACCCCCAGGTGAGAACCACTGGATTTGAATGAGCAGGCGGGGGGGGTGACAAGACCCCAGTCGAAAACCACCAGTGTAGGATCGAATAACTTTTCTGATGATTAGTGATACGGAGGAGCTGCCGTATGAGGAGAGACTACAGAGGCTGGCTGATTCAGTTTAGGAAAGAGACGCTCAAAGTGGGGGCAGATAAGGGTTTACAAAACACTAAATAGCGAGCAGAGAGTCAACGGGGATTTATTATTTACTGCCGATCTCTGTCAGGACGAGAACCAGGCGTCGCATAATGAAACCAGTAAGCAGTAAGTTTAAAACCAACAAAAGGAAGCTCTTTCACGCAGCGCATCGTTCAAGTGTTACATTAAGTCTTGCGCTGTCAGGGCGGGTGGCGGTTTTACAAAGAGTTGAGATCGCAGATTTGCATGGGAGGGTTTGGGCAGGGCCCAGCTCGCCTCAGGCAGGGGTTGGACTAGATGTGACCTCCGCGGGTCCCGTCCGGCCCCGCGTCTCTTTTTTCTCGACGTGCGGCACCAGATGTGGTGGAAACTGACAGCTGGGGTTGACTCAAAAAGGGACTGGGGCGATTGCGGGAGGAAAGGGGCCACTGCTGAGCGTGGGCATCAGGGGCCCCGACCCCGAGCATCCGAGACCTCCAGTGCAAGCGGGACGGAGGAAGTGGGGAGGGGGCAGGAGGGAGGCGGGGGTGCGAAAAGAGACAACCCAGGTCAGTCGCAGCTTGGGAGCTGGAGTCGAGGGAAGCATCGGGAACACCCCCCCCAAAATGGGGACCCCCCCCAACTGGCTTCCCAGGCCTTCCCCTTCGCCCACACAGCCCTGAACCAGCTCAATGCCCCCCCTGCCCCATCTTCCCATCCCCCTGTGGCCCCCTCACACTGCCTCCCCTGCCCCC